AAAAAAAAAAAAAAAAAACCATCATAAGCCAGAGCTCAGGAGGATCATGGTTGGATGACTAGCCTAGACAAATATTTCAAAAGACCCCCATCTCCAAAATAATCAGAGCAGGAATGGAGATGTGGCTCACCTGCTTTGCAAGCACAAATCCTGGGGTTCAAACCCCAGTCCCACCAGAAATAAAAGTAAATAAGGCAGTGCAGACTGACCTTCCTCTGTTCTCCAGGGAGAAGAAGCTGCTAGTGAGCTCTGAGGACTATGGCCGAGATCTCACAGGCGTGCAGAACCTGAGGAAGAAGCACAAACGGCTAGAGGCAGAACTGGCTGCACACGAGCCAGCCATTCAGGTGAGAGAGCATCTTCGTCTGAGAGGCCAGAGGGGCGGGAAGGGGGCCAGGTGATGGACAAAGATGTCCCTTGCTCTTATTTCACTGGAGTTTCATGTTCATGACACTGAGGCCTTTTCCTTGGAGCCTTGAGCCAGAGGCATCCAGAAGCAGGCATCAGCAGCACTGTCACTGGCAATGGACTGGTTTTGCTTATCAGGGTGTCCTGGACACTGGGAAGAAGCTGTCCGATGACAATACCATTGGGCAGGAGGAGATCCAGCAGCGCCTGGCTCAGTTCGTGGAGCACTGGAAGGAGCTGAAGCAGCTGGCAGCCGCGCGGTGAGTGCATGGACAAGAGACTCCTTGAGCATGGAAGTTCCATTGGCTGGCTCTGGAGCCGGTAGGCCGTGATAAGCTGGTCTCGGTGTATGATTCCAGTTTCCTGTCTGAAGAATACCCTGTCTACTTTGCATACCATAGACGGCTAGGCTAAAAGACTCACATCCCCCTCTTAATGAACATTTTAAGCACACGTGACCTGTGAGAATTTAAGTCACAGGAGATAAATCACTGATGTTTTTTTCCTGGTTTCTGTAAATAGGGGTCAGCGGCTAGAGGAATCCTTAGAGTATCAGCAGTTTGTAGCTAATGTAGAAGAGGAAGAAGCCTGGATCAATGAGAAAATGACACTGGTGGCCAGCGAAGATTATGGGGACACACTTGCTGCTATCCAGGTCAGGAGAACCAAGTAGAGTTCCACAGACTCGTTGGCTTATAACAGAAATTTACTGTCTCACAGTTCTGAAAGCAAGAAGTATAAATGATGGTACAGGCAGGGCCATGCTCTCTCCACGGCCTACAGAGAAGATTTCTTCCATCTGCTGATGGCCATAGGTGTCCTTGGCTTATGGCAACAGCACTCCAGTCTCTTGTCTTTTTCCACATGGTTGTCTCCACTCTTCTAATGTTCTCTTCTGTGTATCTGTGTCCAGAATGCCTTTCTTTTTAAAGACACCAGCTCTACTGATAGGAGATGCTGAAAAATATCATGGTCACATGTCCCACCCTAATGACCTCATCTTAACTTAGCACACACCATCCACAGAGACCCTGTTTCCACATTCACAGTCCTCAGATGTTAGGGAATAGCTCAGCGCATTCTAAACTGGTTGATAGTTTCTGTATAACAGCCCACCTAAAATTCATTGCTTAAAAGTAGCAAGCATTTCTTCCTGCCCTGTATTCTCTGAATGGTGGTGTTTCCTCTGCAGCTTTCACTTGGGATCCCTCATGCAGCTACATCCAGGCAGAGGATGACTCTAGTTCCATGGCTGCTAGCTGGGCCTGGCTTTCTGCTAGGACATCTCTGCTGTGCTCCACAAGGCCTCTCTTATCGTCCAGTAGGCTGGACTAGCTTCCTTCAGTGACCTCAGAGGAGCAAAGGCTAAAACTGCAGGGTGTCTTAAGGGTGCCCCATATATCATCCTCCTTGCACTCTGTCATCAGAGCTAGTCCCAAGGCAGCCCAAGTCATGGGACTGAAAAGACTTCTTTTGGGAGATGATGCTGTCCAATGTCATGGTCATATGGTCCTAAGTTCTGACCAGAAGATTGCAAGCAGAGTTTGCATTGTCGAGAACTGAAGTGGCCCCTCAGACACTGCAGAAAGTGTCCTCAGCTTGTCAGAATGATTTAGGTGGGATGATGGTGAAGTCACTGGCTTTCCTCCAGGACTTTGTGTACTAAGGAAAAGAAAGCCTTGGGAGAAGGGGGTCCTTGTGAGATGTGCTCACTGAGTGCCATTGCTTTGTCAGTGTTCACATCTAGGTTACTGCTTCCTTTCTCATGATCTAGGGGGAACGAAGGACACTAGATCCCTCAGCAAGTGCGTAATAGCCCTTAGAAAGGCCTTCTCGGGCTGCAGTATTATTACCATTCCCCTAGACTAGAGGGTGAGAGGATGGGGCGCATCCATTTTATCACTTTCTATCCCAGGACCAGCACATCAGTAGCTGGTCTTGCTGCTTCACTTTAGGGCTTACTGAAGAAACATGAAGCTTTCGAGACAGACTTCACTGTCCACAAAGATCGTGTGAATGACGTCTGCACGAATGGGCAAGACCTCATTAAGAAGGTGAGCGTGGGCTGGGCATTGGTGGCTCACACCTGTAATCTTAGCTACTTGGGAGGCAGAGATCAGGAGGATTGTGGTTTGAAGCCAACTCCAGGCAAATAATTCAAGAGACTCTTATCTTGAAAAATATCCAACATGCTGCTGGAGAGGCTCAAGCCATAAGAGCACCTGCCTAGCAAGTGTAAGACCCAGAGTTCAAACCCCAGGGCTGCCCAAAAAAAAAAGCCAGGCACCAGTGCCTCACACCTGCAATCCTAGCTATTCAGGAGGCAGAGATGAGAATCGCAGTTCATGGCCAGCCTGGGCAAATAGTTGGAGAGACCCTATCTCAGAAAAAAGCATCACAAAAAGGGCTGGTGGAGCGACTCAAGGTGTAGGCTCAAGCCCCAGTACCTCAAAAAAAAAAAAAAAAAAAAAGTCATAATTTAAAATGCCAACCCCTTCATCCTTTTCAGCATTAATTTCAGAAACAGTACTGTCAGCACAGGGTCTTCACCCTGAGGCTTTTGCTCTTCATCCTCAGGAGGCCTCACCCACATGCCCACCCTGCAATGGCCAGAAGAGTAAACCTCCTGTCTGAGGGAATTGAGCCCCTTTCTAAGAACTTGGTTAGGTGACTCCAGTGGAAGGGGGGGAAGCTGGCTGATTAGTGCTTCTATCCCTGGCATAGAACAATCACCACGAAGAGAACATCTCTTCCAAGATGAAGGGCCTGAGTGGGAAGGTGTCCGATCTTGAGAAAGCTGCCGCCCAGAGGAAGGCAAAGCTGGATGAGAACTCGGCCTTCCTCCAGTTCAACTGGAAGGCTGATGTCGTGGAGTCCTGGATCGGTGAGCGAGCTCAGCAGGCCCAAAGCTTCTCATTCTCCCAGAGCCACAATATGTGTTTTTCTGTGCAGTTGGTTTCCTGTTTCAGAGGAGAAACTGACTCAGATCAGGGAGCCTGAGCCCAAAGACCAGAGCCCTGTAAGCACCTGGCTGACACTAGGGCTTACCAAACATAGGCCTGTGAGTCCTGAAGCAAGCTATAGTTGGTTGGAGCAGAGTGGGCTCACCAGAGGGGCCAGGTTACATCAAAACTGCCCACAGGCTGCTCTGGCCGGGGCCCTGCCCACCTCCTATGGGAGGAGAACTGGATTCAGATACCAGGCCTACATGACCTGGAAGCTAGAAAGATCACTTCTGGTTCAGAGGATGCCTAGGTGCTGTGGGGTCAGAGAGAGCTGGAATTTAAGTGTGAACAAAATGATGTTTGTCTCAGTTCTCTGACTTTCCTTTTTAATCCATCTCACTCTACTGGTCTGATGCTTGGTCTTATAGGTGAAAAGGAGAACAGCTTGAAGACAGATGATTATGGCCGAGATCTGTCTTCAGTCCAGACTCTCCTCACCAAGCAGGTCAGTGTGGCCTCTCTAGTCGTAGACTGTATTTAGCCAAATAGCACTTCCTGGTACACTGCTGTGGTCATTGCCCTTTACTGAGGTACTTGTTGATCCCCTGTATGGCTGTGGGGATTCATTAGTGAGTCCTGGCCTTGAAGCTTCCAGACTAGCCAAAAGCAAACATGTAATCAGGCATTTTCACGTGGCCTACTTGAGGCTAACAGGACTTGCACAATAGAGGGCACCGTAGACTTAGGACACAAGGGGTGCTGCTCAGTGTTCAGTAAGTGAGGGACAGTGGGGCAAGCCTTGCTAGGCTCAGTCACAAAAGGGAAAACAAAAAGTGGTCACATGGGGAGAGCCTGTCAGGAGCCCTGGGCCACGCAGAGCTGTTCCCAGAGGCTGCATGGTGGAGCGAAAGCACTTGCAGCTAAGAATCTATTCTGAGGCGAGGAGGAAAGTGGGTCAGCCAGGAAGTGCCAAGAGGAAGGAGGTGGAGCTCCAGGCAACCCACCCTGTGTGAACACCTGGAGGCCAGGTGCTAAGCCATCTGCACTGAGACACTAGGAAGAACATCTCACTGCTTGTCACTGCTTGTTCCAGGAAACATTTGATGCTGGCCTGCAGGCCTTCCAACAGGAAGGTATTGCCAATATCACTGCCCTCAAAGATCAGCTGCTGGCCGCCAAGCACATCCAGTCTAAGGCCATTGAGGCCCGGCACGCCTCCCTCATGAAGAGATGGAGCCAGCTGCTGGCCAACTCAGCCACACGGAAGAAGAAGCTGCTCGAGGCCCAGAGTCATTTCCGTAAGGTAAGGGTGGACCAGGTAAGGCCAGCAGCAGGCCCAGTATCAGGAATGGCAGACCAGAATTCCCTCTACCATGCTGTGAAGGGCTGGCAGAGACTTTGTGAAGCAGACATGTAGACAAAGCAAAGAGTGGAGCCAGGCTCCCAGCAGGTCATGCTCTTCTCTGGTTCCCAGGAGCCTCCCGGCCTTCCTGCCCATCCATCCTCTCCTAACTCACTGCCTCTGCTTCTAGGTGGAGGACCTCTTCCTGACCTTCGCCAAAAAGGCTTCTGCCTTCAACAGCTGGTTTGAAAACGCAGAGGAGGACTTGACAGATCCAGTGCGCTGCAACTCCCTGGAAGAAATCAAAGCCTTGCGCGAGGCCCATGATGCTTTCCGCTCCTCCCTCAGCTCTGCACAGGCTGACTTCAACCAGCTGGCCGAGCTAGACCGCCAGATCAAGAGCTTCCGTGTGGCCTCCAACCCTTATACCTGGTTCACCATGGAGGCCTTGGAGGAGACATGGAGAAACCTGCAGAAAATCATCAAGGTGAGCCTGGCCCTGTCCCCAGCCCATCCCAGGCCATTCACCTCCCAATCCTCCCTGGCCCCCAGGTCTGCTGCATGTGGTCCACTTTGGCAGTGATGCCTTCTACTTCTACCAGACCTACAGTATTTCCCAGGGACTTAGGGCCAGGACCATGTCTGTGCTGAGCTCACCTGCAGTGCAGTGGTCAAGGCCCAGCAGAAGGTAGCCTCTGCCTCCCTTTGGTCCCAGGAGCGGGAGCTGGAGCTGCAGAAGGAGCAGCGACGGCAGGAGGAGAATGACAAGCTGCGTCAGGAGTTTGCCCAGCATGCCAATGCCTTCCACCAGTGGATCCAGGAGACCAGGTGCCTGCCTTGCGGGGCAACCTGGGGAGTGTTCTGGTCCCCGCGGCTAGATCCCCAGGCCTCCAGCTCCACCACGTGGGAGCTTTGTTTATAATCAGGTCTACTTGGACTAAAGAGAGAAGGTTGGCACAGCCTGGTCAGGCTTTGGAATAGAGGGTGGACATCTGTAAGGCTCTCTGTGGTACATCTCCCCAAAGAGGAGGTTGCCAGATGTCTGGGCAAGGAGGGACTGTGCTCAGCCCCTGACCAGATCCCAGCAGAAACTCAGCAATATTTGACACAGAATTGATTGCAGGATGGTACTGATGTTCTTGGTTTTATTTCTCTTTCTTGTATTTTCTCTCTGTCCCCTCTTCCCGATTGCTGCTGCGTCTGGACACCACCTTGTCTCGTGGCTGCTTGGATCTCCTCCACAGAACATACCTCCTCGATGGGTTAATATTGTCTTCTTTTTCCGGGCTCGTGGTGTGGTGGTGTCTCATGTGCTTGTCCCCATATCCCTCGTCCTCCTGTGGCCTGGCTTGCAGAGGATGCCAAGATGGGCTTTCCTGCCCACCTTGTCCCGTCACCTCACAAGGAGTGTGTGCCTTGCCCTGCAGCCCACTGTCCCTGACAGAGCCTGCTATCGGACCAGGGTGGCAGCAGGGAGCATCCCACTTTTCCATTCAGATTCCAGGTCTTCCCTCCTTTCACATAGAGAATGTGACCAGGCAGGGAGGTCAGAGCCTCTGGGAATCCTGTGCCTGTTAGGCTGCCAGGATTGGTTGGCCTTCTCTTACCTGTTTCCTGAGCGTGTCCATAGACACCACATTTAAGCCCCAGGGGGTCAGTGGGCACGAAGCTGGGTGGCAGTTCTGGGGGTGCTGGGTGTACTCAATAGGGAGCTGTGCAGCCCCCAGGTTCCTCCTGAGGGTAACCAGAACTGTTGGCCCTAGCAGAAGGCAGAAATTCCCAGTGTCACAATGTAAGATGGAGACAGGGCTTGGAGGAGCCCCAGAGAGGAGCAGGGCTATCCCCAATCCCAGCAAGGCCTCTGCCCAGGCTGCTCCCCTGTGCATTCTCACCATTCTCACCAGGCCTGCTGTGACCGAATGGCTTATCCTGGTGCCCCGTAAGGTTCTACAGATGGAAAATCAGGCACATAAAGGTGGCAAGAGGAGAGATCTACCCAAACCAGGGCAGGAAGGGATGAGGGACGGCAGTGTCCAGCCTGAACCCTGTGGCTAGGGATCCACAGGCTCTTCCCACCCCATGCTGCCTGCTGTTCTTGGTCTTGTCTGTGCCGTGCCCCTTCACCCATGGCTCCTCTCAAGTCCTGTCCCACCTCACCCATTGCCCATTGAGCTACCCCAGTGTGGACCTGGTTCTCGCCTGTGTGCTGCCAGCTTGGGCCTTGCGACACGTGTCTGTCTCCGTACGCTCTTGCCTCGCCTCCCTTTGGTGTATTCATTTGGTTTCTTTTCTTTGACTAGCATAGCATATCGCCGGGTCATTCGTGTCTATCAGTATGAAGTTGGGGATGATCTGTCTGGAAGGTTTTTCTCCTCTTATTTCTCTTCTTCCCTCACTGTGGTTTTACCAATGCACTCTGGATTCCCCAGGAGGCTCTGCTTTCTGACTAACCCACACCCTGGCCGCTTGGGAGGAGGGTCTGTACCCCTCTGCTTCACTGGCCCCGCCTCCTGCTCCAGACCCTGGGGCGCCCTTTTCCCTGGGTATGGGGCGTGCCTGTGAGTCTCGCCTGCTGGGGTAGGAGGGAGTCTGGTGCCTTGCCTTGCTAGAGCACTTGAACTTGGGGGGATTTCAGAGCTCACCCTGGTGCATTGGGTTTGTAAGGGTAGTTTGGGGCAAACATGGGTACAGAGAAAATGAAGCTAAAACCCTACCAAGGCCATGCACTCTGTGACCTTGTCCCTGCACGTGACTCCAGCTTGTCCGTTGTCTTTGTTCACGGGTAACCTTTTGTGACCTTGCACTGTTATCTTGGAGAGCAGCAGCATTCTTCCAAGCCCATCTGCTGCTCAGAACATAGCCCTGGAAAAGAGGCCAGGCCCTGGCTGTGTCTACATGATGGACTCAAGTCCAGGGTTCATCTCCTCCACGGCCCAAGACCAGCCACCTCCTTCCTCATTACAATTAGAACCGCTTCCCAACCACGCCTTGTCTCCCTCCCGGTGCCCCTCTCCTCTGCTCACTCACCCTAGAATGTGGCTCCTTGTCCTCCCCCACCCCCGGCTGCAGAGGCAGGGCTGTCAGCCAGGCCCGCAGCTGTTCTGGTCCCATGGGGACACGCTGAATTCCTCAGTGACCCTTGCGTGCTGAGGAGCCACATGAACAGGGTCCTGGACCTACCCGGCCATGTGTCTCTAAAACCAGAGACCTATGGCCTGCCCTCCTGATTCCCAGGCCAGTTAGGAAGAGGCCAGATGCAGATAGAACATGTATTTCCTCAGTGAAAGGAATCACAGGCTGCCTGGCATTGTTCTCTCAAAAGGGTAGTTAACCGTGAGCTCTTGCCTGTTGAGATCGGGCACCTATCCTGACTGTGCTCTCTGTATTCAGGTCCTGCATGGTGGAAGAATCAGGAACTCTCGAGTCCCAGCTCGAAGCTACCAAAGTGAGTGCTCAGGGCTGAAGTCTGACCCCAGCATGCTAACCACACCTCTTCTCCCTTGACTTAAACAGCCTGGAACTGTTTTTTAAAAGACATTTCTTGTTAAGTCTTTGGGCTTGGGTGTGTGGCTCAAGTGGTAGTGCTCTTGCCTAGCATACACGAGGCCCTAAATTCATTCTTCAGCACCACCAAGTAAATGAAGTCTCTGGCAGCTGCAATGTCTACCTGAAGAACAGAGAGGCCCTTTAGTCTGTTGTACACTCCCTTTTCCTAGCAGGTCTGGGTTGGGTTCCGAGGGGAGCCCTGACCCATGCTTCTGTGCCCAACCTGTAGCGCAAGCACCAGGAGATTCGAGCCATGAGAAGCCAGCTCAAGAAGATTGAGGACCTGGGGGCTGCCATGGAGGAAGCCCTCATTCTGGACAACAAGTACACGGAGCACAGCACTGTGGGCCTGGCCCAGCAGTGGGACCAGCTGGACCAGCTGGGCATGCGCATGCAGCACAACCTGGAGCAACAGATTCAGGCCAGGTACTGCCCCTGACCATTTGGGAATGGGGTGGAGGGCCTGCAGACAGCAGGGGCATCCCATAGTGCAGCAGTCAAAGGGTTGGCACAGTCACCTGCTGTGTGGAGGGCCAGGTCCCTACTTCTCTTGTCCTTCTAGGAACACCACAGGCGTGACCGAAGAAGCCCTCAAGGAATTCAGCATGATGTTCAAGTGAGTATGGCCCCAGTACCCTGTTGGGGGGCAGCTGAGCAGCAGGGCCTGTGCACTGAGCAGCCCTGGCCTCTGTGCTGCAGACACTTCGATAAGGACAAGTCTGGCCGGCTGAACCACCAGGAGTTCAAGTCCTGCCTGCGCTCCCTGGGCTATGACCTCCCCATGGTGGAGGAAGGGGAACCTGACCCGGAGTTTGAGGCTATCCTAGACACTGTGGATCCCAACAGGTAAGCTGCAGGGACAGTGGTAGATACCGGCCTCACCTCTTCCCCACCATCCCTGCTCACACTGCACTTCGCTCGTCCTCCCCCCAGGGACGGCCACGTCTCCCTGCAAGAGTACATGGCCTTCATGATCAGCCGTGAAACCGAGAACGTCAAGTCCAGCGAGGAGATTGAGAGTGCTTTCCGGGCCCTCAGCTCCGAGGGGAAGCCTTATGTGACCAAGGAGGAGCTCTACCAGGTGCACCTTGGGAGGAGCAGGGAGGTTTCCTGGGGACAACAGAAGCCAAAGGTTGCACTTGATTGAATTTTTGGCAGAGCAGGGTCTTGGGTAACAGTCCCCAGTTTTTAAGCCACCCTGTGCTGGGTGTGCACATTTCCTCCCATTTACAAACGGAGCTCAGTGTGGGCCTGAGTCAGGCTCCTCCTGCCTCTGACCTTTGCGAGCCGCTGGCTGAGCTGCCTGTGCTCTCTCCCCCAGAACCTGACCCGGGAACAAGCCGACTACTGCGTCTCCCACATGAAGCCCTACGTGGATGGCAAGGGCCGCGAACTCCCTACTGCCTTCGACTATGTCGAATTTACCCGCTCGCTCTTTGTGAATTGATCCTCAGCTCTTAGGCTAGCCTGTCCCACACCGCTTGCCCTGCTGTCGCCTTGCTGCATGTCAACTCCTCTGTGCTCTCCAGGAGAATATTCCAGACAGTGTTACTTTCCAGTGTAACCGTAGCCTGCTTAGCTTGGGTAAGACTTAGTAGAAAATGGTGCTTCAATAAACCGCTTCTGGTCCAGTCACAATCGCCATGTTGCTTTGGGGACCCAGCTCTGTGTCTTCAGCCAGCTACCCTCATTCCAACAGAAAAAAATCTAAGCAGCTCATTTCCCTTCTTCTCCCTCCCTGCCCCCAATTTTCTGTTTTCACGTAAAAGACAAATAAAGGACTCGACACTCCCCTTAAAAGCTTTGCTCTTCATTATCTCACACCAGAAACACCCAGCTCTGCACAGAGCCTCCCTCACTCCACTGCCTCCCTGCTGGGAACACACTACCCCTAAGGTTCCCTGGCGCCCTCAGGTGGCCACCTCTGACGCCAGCTGGTCCAAGTCCTCGGTTTCCCGCAGCCCTTGTTCTGTGAAGGCTGTACTCAGCTGCCACACCTTCACTGTGCCCTTGGCATCACCAGCAGCCAAAAGCTGGGTCTGCTGGCTGTTAAATTCAAGACAGTAGACAGGGCTTCCATCCTGGGTTTGCGCGATGCACAATGTGGGTTTCTGGGAGCTTTTCTGGAGATCAAACAGCTGCACATCACCTGCAGAGGAGACAGGTTCAGAAACTAGAATCAAGCTCGAAGCAAGCCTACTGCCAGCATTCAGTTGTTCCTGCCTGTCCCGGAGCAATGTGCACGGGAGAACATCCTCATCCCAACCCAGAACCCACGCTCCAGCTGGGCCTCTAACACCACCCAGAGATTCAGCCGGCTGGCCTTGTCCTACCTTCTCCAGAAGCCGCTGCGAAAACCAGAGGGCGCACAGGGGACCAGCGCACAGCAAAGAGGTACTTGTGGGAGAGCTGCAGTGAGGCCAGGGGCTGGGCCTGCAGCATGGAGTGTAGGTGGACATGGCCGTCCGTCCCTGCACTCAGGAACAGATTCCTAGATAGGATACAGGGCAGAGAGCAAGGCGAGAGAAGCGGCACTGGGTGTATGGATGGGGCTGGCACCTGCCACCAGACTCCATCTTGGCTGTCAGTTCATGAGGAACCCCTTTGGCTGCCAAACCTGGAGTGGGTTCTCAGAAGAGGGGCTGACCCTGGGACCAACTACGAAAGAGCTAAACATGCAGATGCTCAAAGTGATTCTGTGGAAGACCTGGCAGGCTGGAAATCAGAGAAACAGGGACCCGGTCCTCCCTGTGCCTGAGGGAGAAGCTCCAGGCCCAGGCTGTCCCTACCTGTGGAAGGGGGAACAGCTCACAGAGTAGACAGGACCTCCATGGGGAGAGAAGGTGAACTGAGCTGGGGCCCGCAGGGGCACGGAGCTGGGCATCCGAGTGAGGGCCGCCTCCTCTGCTGCCAGGGAACACTTGAGCGGGAAGCCACCTTCAGTGCCCAGGACAAAAATGCTGGGGTCGAAGCTGGAGAAAGCTACTGCTGTGGCACCCACCTCAGTCTCACCCCGAGATGGCTGTGGAGAAGAAGCGCATCCACCAGGTCAGAACCAGGGACCTTGGATCGTCCTATCCAACAGTCAGTAGACCAGAGGAGAGGGCCCTGGAAGGTCACTGGCCATGCAGGAAGTCCCACAGGCCTGGGCTGCCCCTGGGGTTGTGGCTCTGCCTACGTACCTTCTTCAGCTTGGTGCTCCGTGGCAGCTGCTGCACCACCAGGGCAAAGCCTTTCGTGAGCCGCAGCTGGCCTGCCCCAATCCCCTGCCAGAGCAGCACCTTCCCGTCGGTAGACACACTCAGCACCTGGAAGCGGTGACTGTGCCGAGCCTCTGGCAGCCAAACCACCTGACACAACAGGTGGGGCAAGATGGAGAAACGGAGAGCCGACCCCAGTATCAGGCTCACTCCTGCTACCGCTCTTTCCACACAAAAACGGGGAGAATTCTGTGGGAGGCCCAGGAGCCAGCCTCACCAACCCAGGGCTGCCAGGGGGAGCTCCAAAGTCCCTCCCCAGCCCAGAATCCCACCACCCAAAAGGGCAGGTCAGCTGTGTGCCCGGCACTCGTACTGTGCCTGTGCAAGAGGTTGTAGAAAGCAACTGCTGGGGAGAGCAGAGCTGGTTCAGGCCACACCTACTGTGGGAGCTCTAGGAATTCCCAAGGCAGCTCTCCAACGGCCACCTCCCTAGTGACCTTCCCCACCCCTCCAGCAGCCTCCGCATCCTGACCTGGTACACAGGGTCTGTGTGGGTGTCATCAGTTAGACCTGTGCGCCAAAGCAGTGGGTCCTCAGGACGGCTCACGTCCCACACCAGCACTTCCCCACTGTACAACCCTCCTGCAGGGGCCGAGACCTGGCTATCAGCTCAGCTACAACCAGCAGCCCAGCCAGGCACCTGGCCTGGCCCCCCCATGGAACAGGACAAGGACTTCTTCACTGAACATCCTTAGAGGGAAATCCTGTTGTGGGCCTCAAAGCCAGTCCCTCCTTGCTACGCCCCAGGTGATGCTGGGGCATCACCTCTCCTCACCCTTGCACAGGCCTCCAGATGTCCCTTTCCCCAAGGTGTATGTCCCACCCCAAGCCCCTCAGGTTTTTCCCTAGCCCCAGGCTGCACCCAGACCAGGTGGCCTCACTGTCTCCGAGCAGGCGACCACCAGCCCCCAGGGGCTGACAGGCCAAAGCAAAGCCTTGGTGCAGGGTGGGAAGCAGAGCCCGGGAGGCAGGAAGACCTGGGCTCTCACCTGCGATGTGGGAGGGCTGCGTGGGGTGGAAGGCCAAGCACATGACAGCGCTGGGTACCTCCATCACCGCCAAGGGCTGCCGGGGATTCAGGTTTCGCCGGTCCAGATTCCAGGCACACACATAGGACTTGAGTGTACTCCAGTCCCCATCGTCCAGTCTGCATGAGAACATGGCTGACCAGCCCCTGGGACTCCCATCTCTTCCTTCACCTCCTCCAACTAACCCCTGCCCTTTCAAGATTCACACCCAGACACTGTACTCTGGATATCCAAGTGGCACAAGCTCTTCCATGGTACCAAGACAGCATGACATCCTCTAGGAAAGGGTCCCCAGCCCCCAAGGATAGGCCCATGCAATGGATGAGGAATGTGGTTCATTAAGAAACAGCTGGTAAAGGTGGTGAGACACGCAGGGCGCCAGTGGCCCACAACTATAATCCTAGCTACTCAGGAGGAAGAGATCAGGAGGATAACAATTCAAAGCCATTCTGGGCAAATAGTTTTCGAAACCCTATCTCAAAAAACCCTTCACAAAAAAGGGCTGGTGCAGTGGCTCAAGGTGCAGGCCCTGAGTTCAAACCCCAGTACACCAAAAGAAACAAAGACCCAGGACTCACTGCCCAGGGAGCAGATGGCCAGAGGTATGGGCTCTCAGCCTCTCTCCCCTGCCCTCTTCCTGCCAACCCTGTCTAGGCAGCCTGGACAAGGCAGACACCTACAATGGCCACACTCTTGGGGCTGACCCTCCACAACACAGCTGGGGAGACAGGCCCAGATGAATCCTGGGGTCTCCCACTGCCCTCCACCACCTCTGATGCCACTCACC